TAGGCACCAAGGGACAGTATGCACCAGGAGACAGTATGCACCAGGGGGCAGTATGCACCAGGGGACAGTATATGTCAGGGACAGTATGCAGTAGGGGACAGTATGCACCAGGGGACAGTATGCACCAGGGGGCAGTATGCACCAGGGGACAGTATGCACCAGCATGCATGCCTTCCTTGTAACTTCATCAGCATGATTCCTTTTGATCAAAATTTATCACTCTTTTTGGTTTGAAAATCTCATTAAAACATTCAAACATTTTTACGACTCTGACACGAATTGTCAGATTGCCCCATGGAGAGAATTTCTCTGTCTTACAGGCTTCCCCACCGCCCCCCACCCCCGCCCCGTACACACCCCTTTACTCGTCAACAGGCTCATTTCTGCCTTTCCAGCTTGATGACCTGCAAGTGAATGTGGGTTTTTGCGTTTAGTTAATTTGCGTATCGTTCTTGAACTGTTTCTTGGTTTGAATTCCTCCCCATCAGGGTATGAATCCCCAACAGTGGGATCGCGGTATTTGCCACAAGGCTTGGCACAGAACTGGACCGCAGTATTTGCCACAATGCTTAGCACAGAACAGCCTTGTGTGTACTTCACAGAGTAGTGTGAAGGTGGGCATGGGGCACATTCATCTCCAGACAGAGCATATTTGTGATTTTAAACCCTCATGTCCTCAATTAAATTAAAAATCTGTTGAAAAGGCACTGGTAAATGTTGGGTGAGCATGTGGGGAAATGGGCGCTCACGCACGTGCGTGGGGCTACAGTGGCTTCCGTGTCTCTGAAAAGCAGTTTGCCAGTGCCGTCCCATATCCTTTCAACCACTCGGGGCTTTTATTAGGTAAGTCCACACCCAAGGAATATCCGAAGGAAATGAAAAGGAACTGGAGATGCACAGAAAGATGTATTTGTGTGCCGATGCGTTCACAGCAGCAGAGCTGGTACATAAATTGGAAATAGCTCAGTGTCCCTCCGGGGACAGCTGACTTAAATCGAGTACGGTGTGTTCATGCGAGGAAATTCAGTGCAATCCTTACAATTCACGTTCTGGAAGATCTTTGCAACGACACGGTGGAAACCATGTGTAACATTACATGAACAAAGTGGATTGGGGGGCTCCTGGAGGGCTCGGTGGGTTGAGCATCTGCCTTCGGCTCAGGTCACGATCCCAGGGTCCTGGGATCGAGTCCCGCATCGGGCTCCCTGCTCAGTGGGGAGTCTGCTTCTCCCTCTGCCTGCAGCTCCCCCTGCTTGTGCTCTCTCTCTCTCTCTCTTTCTCTCAAATAAATAAATACGCTCTTAAAAAAAAAAAGAAAAAAGTGGGTTAGGAAAACACGCAGTGTGGTCTCAGAATTGTGAAAATACCCATGTATAAAGTGCACAGAGAGGAGAATGGAAAGAAAGAATAAAAATACAGAAGTGCTTACAATGATTTTTTTTTCCTTCTAGTACTTGTCTGTACTTTCCAGCGTTTCTGCGACGAACACATAGGACTTTTACAGGTGGCGTTTCTGAGCAGACTCCTGACCGACAGGCTTCTTGACTCAGAGACGTGGGGACAACGAGCAGCCAGAAAAGCGACGAGGGGCTGGTTTAATAAAGAGCATCATCCCCGAAGGGGCACCTGGGTGGCTCAGTCGTTAAGCGTCTGCCTTCAGCTCAGGTCATGGTCCCAGGGTCCTGGGATCGAGTCCCACATCGGGCTCCCTGCTCTAGGGGAAGCCTGCTTCTCCCTCTCCCACTCCCCCTGCTTGTGTTCCCTCTCTCGCTGTGTCTCTCTCTGTCAAATAAATAAATAAAATCTTAAAAAAAAAAAAAAGAGCATCATCCATGAAAATCATGAAACAGGAGAAAGGATGTTACTGCAGCTCAAGGTTTCCTAGTCATGAATTTTCATACAGGAAAGATGCAGCACATAAGGCCCGTGAGGACAGTGGAGACTTCAGCATGCCTTTCTGAGCAATCGCAGACCCAGAGGGCGTGAAGGAGTCAGGCCTCCCAGGACCAGAGCCTCACGCCCTTGCTGTCCTGCTGTGCGTCTTGTTTGGGGGGCAGGAGGTATGTGTATGTTCAGCTGCCTCACTCTGGTTATGGGGAGAGCACCCAGCTCCCCTGGGGTGTGACCCCCCCCCGTGGGGTCCCGTGTGTGTCGGGGGAGGGGGTGGGTCTCGGTCCTGGGAGCTCCCACAGCTCTCAGCCTGGGGATCCTTGTGACTCAAGCCCTCCCCTGGGCATTTGCCCAAGGACTGTGCAGGAGAGTCTTGCTTCCTCCGAGGCCACTGAATTGGAGGGATGTCCATCATACCTCCCTGCCCCAGGTTACGTGCATCTACTACGAGTCGCTGAGACAGCACATGGAGAGAAGCAGGAGAACAAGAAACGGAGAAACAGACAGAAGCCGGGACAGACCCAGAGTATCGGGACGCACCTGGGGCCTTCCTAGGTGGGACATCCCCTTGGTGGCTCAGCTAGTCTGAGCTGAGTTTCTGTCCCTTCGTCAACATGAGACTATATTTTCATTTCAGCTTCCTGTCAAACATCTGTAAAATTTGTCCACGTTCTAGGCCAGAAACAATATCAAACTCCCGAAGTGGAAACCATATGGGCCCCGTTCTCTGGTCACGATGTCACAAAACAGGAGACTGATAAACAGAGGGGGAGGGTCGAGAAAGAATCTAAACAGACACACCACAAATGCAGATGTAGGAATGTTACGTCTTATGTTGATCCCAAAAGATGCTCTGCGTCAAGGCAAATGTGAGTTCAAACCGCGTGTCCCTGAGAGTGGATGGGGTTTAGAAGAGTGACACCACTAAGTGCTGGTGAGGATGTGGGGGAGCCGGGAGCCACGCATGCGTCCGGGGCGCTGGGGCCGCTGGCGGCTGCAAAAGGGTGCAGCTGCTTTGGGAGCCAGGTTGGCAGTTGCTTAAAAGTGACATGAGCACTTACCATATGACCCCAAAATCCCCCTAGGTATCTCTCCTAAAGAACTGAAAACATATGTCCACACAAACCTTGTCCACGAATGCTCACAGCAGCTTCACTCCTAATAGCCCCAGAGTGGAACCAGCCCAGATGCCCGTCAGGTGGTAATCGGATAAACAAGTTTCGGGGCGGCCGATGACAGCACAGCGGGGATGCGTCTCAAAGCTCTCTGCTCAGCGAAAGAAGCCAGACACAGAGTGACATCCTAGATGCTTCCATTTCTATGAAATCTACAGAAGGCAAGACTTACAGACCCAGGAAGCAGATCCCGGGTGTCCTGAGCCAGGGGTGAGGTGGGGGCTGACTGCCAAAGGGCAGAGGGGGCTTTTGGGCAGGATGATCCCCAAACCGGACGGCAGATGGAGTCCTGGGATCCTGCTTTGCTGTCCCAGGGGTTTCTTTGGCCTGTCTCACGGGATTGCCCTGCAACAGAATGCCTTATTACTGTACAGGAAGTTGTAGAACTTTTTTCTTTTTAAAAAGATGTTATTTATTTTTGTGAAAGAGAGAGAGAGAGAGAGAGAGCCTAAACAGGGGGAAGGGGCAGAGGGAGAAGCAGACTCCCCTGCTGAACAAGGGGCCTGATGTGGGACTCGATCCCAGGACCCGGGGATCATGACCTGAGCTGAAGGCAGACACTTCACCGACTGAGCCACTCAGGTGCCCAAATTCTTTTTTTCTTGTCATGGGCGACAGGTATGTTAAGTTTTAAAAAACCAAATTTTAAAACTATGTACCCCAGGGGCGCCTGGGTGGCTCAGTCCTTAAGCGTCTGCCTTCGGCTCAGGTCATGATCCCAGGGTCCTGGGATCGAGCCCCGCATCGGGCTCCCTGCTCCGCGAGAAGCCTGCTTCTCCCTCTCCCACTCCCCCTGCTTGTGTTCCTGCTCTCACTGTCTCTCTCTGTCAAATAAATAAATAAATAAATAAAATCTTTAAAAAAAAATAAAGCTATGTACCCCAAATGATTCCATGTTTGTGAACTAGATCTATGTATACAAAAGTCCGGAAATACACTCGATTAATTTCTGTTTATGTAAAAAAAATAGTGTCTCGCTCTATGAATGTGTATCCTTTCCATGAAGAAAACATAGAAGGTGTTTGTAAGAAGCCCGGAGACCCTCCAGTCCGGTCTCCTCCGCATCATCTTCTCTATTCTAAAACTTAATTATGCCGGTGGTTGCACACTGTATACATTTACCAAAACTGATAGAACTAACCGCAAATGGGTGTATTGTATTGTACGGAAACTATACCCCCCAAAAGGAAAAAATTAGCAGAAGCGGAGAAATCTGTATGTAAGGTCTGTGGGTTATAGGGACAGTGTCCTGGTTGTGATGTTGTGCTATGCAAGGTGTCACCTTCGGAAGAGGCTGGCGGCCCCCAGGAGCTGAAGAGGCAGGGAAGGGTCTGCCGACACCGTGATTTCAGGTTATGGTGCCTGGAACCACGAGGGACTCATGTCCTGTTGTGCAAGCCACACAGTTCACAGTACTTGGTTACGGCAGCCCCAGGAGACTCACACGGAGGGTTCTGACCTTCTGATGGTAGTGACATTAGGACGGGTGGAGGGAAGGGATAGGCCATAAAAGGTGACAGACTAATTGGTAATCCTTTAGGGAAAAAATAATAATGTTGTACTCCTTACATCGACATAAAAATTAAAAAAAATCTCTTGGTTTTGGCTCAGGTCATGGCCTCAGGGTCATGAGACTGAGCAGTGGGATATTTCTGAAGCTCCAATTGTTGTCATTCCTTGAGAACCGTGGAAGGCAGGTCTCCCTGGGCTGATTTCTCCACGGGGGCTCCCGAGTGCACCTGCTTTCTCTCTTTCCGACTCCCGTCTGCTATTCTGGACGTAGGGGCCTACCCAGCTCCCGACCTCTGGATGGAGGCCCCCACGGAAGTCGCCACCAGGAAGACTCTGGGCGTCAGCAGGTGTGGGTCTGGGCCCCCAGCAGGCCTTAGATGTCATTATTATGTTACTATGTGCCCGCTCCAAAAATAGCCTGGGTCAAAGAGCAGAGGCCAAGAGTAGGGTGTAGTAAAGGAATGTCAGAGCGTAGGACAGAGCGTAGGACAGGGCGTAGGACAGGGCGTAGGACAGAGCGTAGGACAGGGCGTAGGACAGAGCGTAGGACAGGGTGTAGGACTAGAAGGCCACGGATGTGGGGACCACAGGGCTTCCATCCCACCAAAGGGGCTACCGGATGCTCGCAGGCAGATAAAGAGGCTTTCTCCTATCTTCTCCACCCCAGGGAAAGGGGTCTTTTGCCCAGGAACTGGCCACACGGGCCTTGCCCAGCAATGGTGACAAGCTGTCCACTCCCTGAGGTGAGCACAGGGTTGGATCGGGGAGCCCCACCTCTGCCTCCTGCAGAAGGTCTGTCCTGAGTAGTGGAGGTGGCGGGAGGGGACAGGTGACCATCATCCTTGTCTTTCTGGGACCGATTCCATCCTGGTTTTTCTTCTGCTGGAGTGAGTTGACTTGCATCCTCCATATTTCCAAGTTCTAACCCTTGGGACCTGTGAATTTAATCTTATTTGGATAAAGGGTCTTTGCAGATGTAATTATGGCAAGGATCTCAAGGTGGGATTACCCCAGATTTAGGACCACCCTAAATGCAATGATACGTGTCCTTACCTGAGAAAGATTTGAGGCAGGCACAGGGAGAATGCCACATATGGAGGCAGAGACTGGCATGTGTCTACAAGTCAAGGGATGCCAAGGATCATAGGACAACCACTGGAAGCTGAAAGAGGCAAGGAAGGATTCTCTCTCCAGGTCTCTAGAAAGAATCAACCCTGCTGACATCTCGAGTTCAGACCTCTGGTCCCCAGAACTGGGACAGAATACATCTCTGTTGTGTTAAGCCCTCCAAATTGTGGTAATGCGTTATGGCGGCCTAAGACACATGGCTACCCAGTATAGGGGATTTTCAGTGCTAAAACTGGGAGAATCTTGAGCGAATCGGGATAGCTGGTCAACCTAGCGTTTGAAATATCTGCCATACTTTTGAACTCGAGTCAAAACACATGAGTTAGCTTTGGCTCACATAGCATTTGAAGTTTCTCTGGGTCATGACCGGTAACTTTCTATGTCACAGTTTCTACCCTGTCTGTCCCTCTGGTGTCAGCTTTGTATAGTATTTGGGGCCTTCTGCCTCGGTGGGCGTTGATAGCAGGAGGTAGGAATGGGCAGGGGGTGCCCTTGGCCTTCTCAGCAGCCCTGTGTGCCGAAGCATCTCATCTTCTCCTCTTTTGGAAAGAGGAGATGCTCCCAGCCTGGCCCTCAAACAGCTACGTGGATAACCTGTCTTTCAGCGGAAAGATGCAGCTGAACGACAAAATGCCAAGTGGTCCTCACCTTCCCGCTGCTTGCTCCTGAGCCGGGAGACACTGGTGGGTTCACCTAGGAAATTGCCAGCATTTGGGTGGCAGCAGGAGTCTGGAAGCTTCATCCTGGGAAGGGAGTTGGGCTGTCCTGTGGAGAATATCTACTGGTTTCCTTTTCCTTCTGCTTCCCTGTTTCTGGCTGGACCAAACCAGGGGACCCACTGATTCTCTAAGCAGTGAGACGACTGGAAAGAACACAATCCCCACCACCTGCTGGACCCTGTTTTCCTTGTTATGGATATAGGTGCTCGGGGGCCTGCAGTATTGACCCCGGAGCACCGCTGTGGGCACCTCCTACTCCCTGACCCCTTGGGGCTGACTGCAGCTGTAAAGGAAAAGTCAGCTTTGGCCTGACACCTTGGGAGCCTTGCCTGGATTCATCCTGAGCTCTCCTGCCTTCCCATGGTGGTCAATCACAGGAAGCCTCCTCTGATGTGCTGAATGCAGCCCGGGAGCCCCCCAGAGCCCTTCCCACGGCCTTTGGCAATGCAGAGCCCTGCAGCTCGAGATGGCGCTGCCCCCGGGGCCAAGGCCTGCCCCTGGATGTGACCTCTGGAAACACAGGCCAAGATTCTTTTTTTTTTTTTTTTAAGATTTTATTTATTTATTTCACAGAGAGATAGAGAGAGAGCACAAGTAGGCAGAGTGGCAGGCAGAGGGAGAGGGAGAAGCAGGCTCCCCGCCGAGCAGGGACCCAGACGTGGGGCTCGATTCCGGGACCCCAGGATCATGACCTGAGCCGAAGGCAGCCGCCCAACCGACTGAGCCACCCAGGCGCCCAGGCCAAGATTCTTTTGATCTCACAAATTCTGGAGTGCAAGTATTTAGAAATGTCTTCCATCCCAAAGCTGGGGTGGCCAGGTGCCAGGGAGGGGAGTCCAGACTGAGGAGGGGGATAGGCTGTGGACAGCCCCCAAGAGGGGACCCGTTTGCATGTGGAGGGGCTGGGAGACAAACTTTCTTTTCTTTTTCTTTTTTTTTTTTAAGATTCATTTGTCCATTTTATTATTTTTATTTTTAAAGATTTTATTTATTTGTCAGAGAGAGAGAGAGAACAAGCAAGGGGAGGGTCAGAGGGAGAAGCAGGCTTCTGGCTGAGCAGGGAACCTGATGTAGGACTCGATCCCAGGAGCCTGGGATCATGACCTGAGCCAAAGGCAGATGCTTCACCGACGGAGCCACTCAGGCGCCCCTTATTTATCCATTTTAGAGAGAGAGAGAGCACGTGCGCGCGAGAGCGTGGGGGGTGGGCAGAGGGAGAGAGAATCCCTGAGCAGACTCCCCGCAGAGTGCAAAGCTGGACATGGGGCTGGATCTCACCACCCTGAGATCATGACCTGAGCCGAAATCAAGTCGGATGCCCAACCCACTGAACCCCCCAGGTGCCCCGAGACAAACTCAAGAGGCTGGTCTTCTATTTTCCTCACATACTGTGTTGTCCATATAAAATAATACACGCTCCCAGTAAAAAAAATATATTCATATTTTGTGTTTTCATATATATTTAAGATACTTTAAACATGCTTTTGTATATTGTGTTTTCCATATATATAAAACATACGCTCCCAGGAAAAGCAGCTTATAAAATTGAGCTCAAACTTACATTCAATAAAGGGTACAGATCTTAAGGAGAGAGCTTGGCATATTTTCACGTGTGTTGATGTCTGTGTAGCTACCACTCTGAGAGGCACGATGGTGTGGGGAAGGCCTCCTCCAGCCCCCAGAGCTCACCTCTGTTCTCACTTGCAACCCCACAGATTGGTTTGGCTGTTTTAGAAATCTGTATAAATGGAATGGTACAGAATGTGCTCTTTTCTGTCTGGCTCATTTCAGGTAGTATTCCGTTGAGTGTCTACACCGCAAATTGACTCCTTGTTTTGTTGAAGAGACTTGGCTAGTGTCACATAGGAGACATCCCAGGTAGCGCTGCGGTAAGCTCCGCATAGGAAGTGGGAGCAGGAGGACAAATAAGACACTTTCCAGATGTGAAATCTGTGGGTCAGAGACCAGCCGCTCCTCCCGAATCCCTGACCGACAGGCGGCCGGAGAAATTAGGACCCTGTATTTGAAAGGCATGGAAAGGAAATAATTTTATACCTACAGCAAAACAGGTAGATGTTTCTACTGATGTGAGTTTTGAGACTCAGCGGCTCAATCATGGCGTTCCTTTGCTTACATACCTTCATTGCACAATGTCAAAAGGAAACGTTTGTTTGATTTTGGTACGCACTTTAGAATAAAAACCCCAGAACCAGAAGGCACCATCATTCTCCATCTTGTTTCTCAGGCCAACTGCACCAACTTACCACAGCACCCTTGCCTTCTGGAGCCTAGACTGGACCTCAGAATCCTTCCTAACCAAGAGCTCCCTGTGGTCAGTAGTGACTTGAGTTGGTGTGAGTTGAAGCCTCTCTGCCCCCATGATGGCATGCCATCTGCTATTGGGTTGAGGAGAGGGTAGAGGTGGGGAGGAGTGGGTTGGGTTGAAGAGGGGAGGGGGGAGGGGGGAGGGTGGGCCGGGAAGATTCATGATAAATATGGAGATGCAGTTATTGGAGCAAGACCTGCATTGACCATGTCTGTTGGTTCCTGTCTGTGCTTGTTGACCCCTCAGGTAGGCTAGTTTGGTGACGAGGTTGGGGCCTCCCCAGAACAAAAGAGAGAGGGGCAGGGGGTGGGGGCCGGGGTGACAATGGGGAGCAGCTGCTGTTCCCCTCTCCAAAGTCTCTGATGTCTTGCTCTAGGCTGGGCTGGCTGGGGCTTGGGTGCAAAGAGCAGACTCTTCAACCACCTGGTATTTGAAGCTGAAGATCTTTAACGACTGGACATTTTCCTCTTCTCTTTCCTGTGAAGAGCAGCTTCCCCCTCTGGCTTTGTGTCCCCCCAACATCCTCTCTCTCATCCCTCTGAATAATGAAAGGTTTCTACATAATCTGAGGGAAGCATTTTAAGGTCCAGATGACCAGAGCTTGCAACCTGAATGTCTGGGTGGCTAAGTGGGTGGCATTAGGCGCCCCGGACACTCCTCACCCTCTCGTCTCCTCCGTGTGTGTGTGTAGGTTCACACGATTCTCTGTGCACACAATCCCTTTGTCCCGTACGTACACCACAGACACAGCCCTGAAAAGCCGAAACATCAAAGCTGTGTTACATCTCAAGCACTGAGAGCCTGCTGGGGGGACAGGTGGTGGCCTGGGCGCCGGGGGAACACCAGCAAATAAGACAGGGTCGCTGTCTTCAAGGAACTTTGCCCAACTCCCAAACTGGCAGGCATCCTTTGCCATCCAGATGTGATGTGTGGCCAATGATCAGCCCAAGGTGGGTCTTTTTTTTTTTTTTTTTTTAATTGTGGTGAGATGTACACAACATAAAACCACTAATTACATTCACACTGTTACAACCACCACCACCATCTGTCTCTGGAGGTGTTTCATCATCCCAAACTGACAGTGTCCCCATGGAACACCAGCCCCTGACAACCTCTCAGCTTTCCGGACTCAACGACTCCAGGTGCCCCACATAAGTGGAATCCGAGAGGATCTGTCCTTCTGCAACTGGCTGATTTCACGAAGCACCGTGTCCTTGAGGTTCCTCAATGTGTAGTCAGTGTCAGAATGTCCTTCCTTTTTACGGATGAATCAGATTCCCTTGTCTGGACAGACCCCATATTGCTTATCCGCTCATCCATCAGTGGCAAAAATGGGGTGCTTCTGTCCCTTGACTGTAAGTGATAGTGCTTCTGTGGACATCTGTGGACACGGGATGTACACATACTAACCAGGGCTTTTAAATATATTGAATTGTCAACATTTAATACTTGGGAGATTTCACCCTCCAAGAATATCCAGTGTCCAGCTTCTTGTGAAAAATAGGGCGCCGTGGCCACACTGGGCTGTGGTCCTGTGTGTCAGTGACCGACAGTGAGCAGCTCCTCATCCCGGGTCAGTGGCATCCGGACACAGACCAGAGGCTGACTGCTGTATGTTATCGTGCTTACATTGTTGTTTTCCTTTTAGTCAAGTTAAGAAAAAAGCAAAATATTTCCATTACCTGCGTCTCTATCAAACGTGGAAAATAGGAAACAGGTAGAAAGGTCTCCATGTTTCGGGGAGAGAAGAGTATTCCTGCGTATGGAGTATGCATGCAGGGTAGGTCTGCGGGCCAAGAGTCCAGCAGATCTGTTCCATCCCCAGCAAACGGGTCCCTCTCCCGTTTTGGTTTCCTGCAGGCATTTTAGTGGACCTCTGGCTGGGTTCTGAATGAGGCTCAGTTCCTACTAGTAGGTCACTAAGTCATCTAGGTCATGATATCCTAATCATGGGTTTGATTTCTGATCAGTGAAATCCTAATCGCCCCCACTGCGAACTTGTTAGGCATAGAAGGCAGGTGTGGAAGGTTGAGTGGTGGCCCCCTGGGAAGACATGCGCCAAGTCCTGACCCTCCTTACCTCTGAATGTGAGCCTTTATGGAAGAAGGGTGCTTGCGGATATAATTAAGGATCTGGAGATGACATCATCCTGGATTAACTGAGTGGGTCCTAAGTCCAATGACAAGGGTCCTTCTTAAGAGACGGAAGAGTAGAAGGCCCCAGCAGGAGGGGAGGCCATGTGACCACAGAGGCAGAGACTGGAGTGAACAGCCACAAGCCTACAGGTTCAGGCAGCCACTGGGAGCTGGAAGAGGCAGGAAGGATCCTCCCCTACAGCCTTTGAAGGTGTGGCCCAGGCCGACTTCTGAGCTCCAGAGCTGTGAGAGAATGAGTCTGGGTTGTTTTGAGCCCCTCGGTTTGTGCTCATTCTTATTGTGCCCACAGAAAGCCAACATAGCAGGTGGCCAGATTGTCTCTGTGGATAAAAGGGAAGCATGGCATCCTTACGGATACAAGTGACACAGAATACGAATGCTTTGGTTGCATGGTGGCCTCTGTGGTCAGTATAACAGGACAGGAGGCCTTGCTCAGCCTACGTACTAGCAAAAGGGCAAAACTACATGAATCCCCATTTTAACCAAGAGGAAAGTGGGCACAGAGAGGATACGATTTGCCCAGGGTCTTGTACATAATCCATGGCAAAACTGAACATGGGATCCCCACCCCCCCCAAAAAAAACAAAGAGCAAAGTATAGGTAGTGATGATGAATGCTTCCCTCTCAGGGGGAGAGGAGGCAGGAAGGCCCTCGCTTTGCAGGTTATCTTTCAAAAGAATTTTCAGGTCCACACAGCACCTCTTTGCAGTTGGGAATTGTGGGTCTTTAGGATGAACATCCATCCCTGTGCTTGCTTACGGGCCATTTGAATTTCTTAGAACTGACTGTAACACGTTTCATATGAGAAGAGCAAACTTCTTTTGAAAATGACATAAAAAAAAAGAAAATGACATAAATAGGAAACACTACTTGTTTAATGAAGTCTTAAAAGTAGTGATATCAAGAATCACATGACCAAAAGCAAACCCGGAGCCAGAGACTTCTCAAGGCCAGTCCTCCCTCGCGGGTGTGGCGCAGGAGAAAGGACTCGTCCCGGACAGACACGCCGTCCTTCCCATTGCCAGGGCCAGACGCGGCGGATTCCGTGCCAGTGGCAGGTGTCGTCGCCTGCCTGTTTACCTGAGGCTTTCACACAACACACCGGCCTTCCTGAGGGCTTTTCTCTGTGGCGTGGTTGACTCAGAAAGGCTGGTTCTTGTATTTGTTTTCCAGAATGAGTTTCTCACAAGGAGCTGCTGGTTAAAAGAACCCCTTCCCTAGTTAATTCCAGATGGGGAATACATTCAACCTGCATATTTTATGAGGAGGGTAGGAGGTATCCGTTAAGGTGTTTTCTCTGTTTAAAAAACAAGCAATCTGAGGATTGCGTCAATCTGATGATTGAAAAGGGTTGTTCTGCAAAGTGAGCCAGCAGGAGGTACTTCCCCAGGATTTGCCCCCCTGCGGCAGGAACCCCCCCAAAGTCTTTTTTTTTTTTTTTTTACTGCTCCAGGCAATGAAAGGGAAACTTTATTGAGGCCCCAGGGCCTTGGGCTCGGGCAGGAGGCCACCCTGCGGCGAAGGAAGAGTCAGTCGAGGGGCCTTATTTGACCTCTTTGGGGCGCGGGTTGTTGGTGTGGCGCAGTTGACAGCCCGGGGGATGCCAGCGAGCAAAACACTTGCCGCGGATCATCTGGTCGCAGTTGTATTTCTGGGCCAGTGGGCGGAGGGAAGGCTCGATGATAATGCCAGCCTGCAGATGAAGCACCAAGTGCAGGGTGGACTCTGTCTGGATATTGTGGTCGGACAGTGCCACCAACTTCCAGCTGTTCGCCCACAGAAATTAGATGCAGCTGGTCAGGCAGGATGCCCTCCTTGTCCTGGATGTTGGCTTTGACATTCTCAATGGTGTCAGTGGGCTCCACCTCAAGGGTGATGGTCTTGCCCGTCAGGGTCTTCTCAAAGATCTGTGTGCCTGCGTCCGCTCGTGGTAGGGAGAAGAGGACTTAACGCTTCTAAGAGGATTGGTGCACTGTATGGCCCGGAGAAAAGCTATAGCTTCGTATCCCTCCTGCATGAACTCGGGTTTGCCCAGGAAGATCATCCACACCCCTAAGTCCTTGCGGGATAGCTTGGGCTGGCCCAGAGGACAGGCCCCTCTCTCAAAGGCCGGTTCGCCCCCCCGGGACCAGTTCAGCCTCAGAATCCTGGCCCCACACGCCCAGCTCAGCAGACCCGGCCGCTGTGTGGAACCTGGTCCGTGTGGACAGGCTCTGGGTCACCCCCTCCCATACCTGGACTCTCACAGCCTCCTGCCCAACCAGTGGGCCGAACTCTCAAGACAGCCCCAGCAAAGCCTTAAGAAGAAGGCTGGTGCTCACTGGAGCGTCCCTTCCCACCTTCCTGGGAGGGAAGGAGGCTCTCTGATGGAGGATGGGGGCTTAGCCAGGCTCTGGGGGTGGGGGACACACACCCAAGCTGCTCCTCCTGGCTCCCCTCCCCCAGCCCAGCCTTTGGGTCCCTCCCTGGCGGCGTATTTATTAGCCAACCAGAGGACCAGGGCAGCTCTGGGGAAGCCAGCTAAGCCGACTGAGCCCTGCTGTTGAGGCTCCCTGGCCTGAAACACAGCCCCTATTTGCAGCCTCCCTGCTTTTTGTTTTGATTTTTGGTGGGGTCCCAGAATCTGTTTTTTCAAAAATTGTGCTAAAATACACAGAACATGAAACTTACCATTTTAACTCTCTCAAGCGTATAATTCAGTAGCATTTAGTACCTTAGGATGTTGTACAAGCGTGACTACTCTCTGGTTCCTGGACATTTTCATCTCCCCACAAGGGAGCCTATACTCACTCAGCAGCTGCTGACCTCCCCCCCACCCCCCTCCCCCAGCCCCGCAGCCCTCCACCGCTTTCTGCCTCCTAGGATTTGTCTATTCTGGACATGAGGCAAAAAAGGAATCCTATGATGTGTGGCCTTTTGTGTCTTTCTTCCCCTCCGCGTGTTTCCGAGGGCCATCCACGCAGCGTGGGGGGGAGCGGCGGGGGGGAACTTCCCTCCTTTCCAGGGCGTGTCATGTCCCGTGGTGGGGACGCCCCACACTTTGCTGATCCTTGCTTCTGTCTACGCCTGGGCTGTTTCCACCTTTTGGCAATTGTCAAGAATGCTGCTATGGACATTCGTTCTTGGGACACGCACCAGCCGTGGCACTGCTGGGTCACCCGCGCCTGCGTGTGTCCCTTGCTGAGGAAGCACCAGCCTGCTTTCCACGTGGCTGCCGTGCCACATCTGCAGAGGCACATGTCACTTTTTCTTTCTCTTCTTTTATTATGATGGTCCTCCTTTGGGTGTAAGGAGGCATCCTGTGGCTTGGACTTGCATTTCCCAGGTGAGTGTCCTCTCTGCGCTCCTTGGTGGCTTGCTTATCACTGACACCTTCTCCGATTCTTGGGTCCAAAAGGAATTAGAACTAGGTCAGCGGCCTCCAAGCTGCTTTGTCCATGGAGCCCCTGCAAGAATTTGGAAAAATCCCCTTTTGGTACCTTTTGAGGTTGGTATCTACTGTGTTTTGTCATTAAGTTCACAAGGGTGCAAAGGATGGGATTTCTGGTGTATTGTAAACACCAACTTTTATTTTATTTTAAGATTTTATTTATGTATTTGAGAGAGAGAGAGAGATTGCAAGGGGAGGAACACAAGCAGGGGGAGTGGGAGAGGGAGAAGCAGGCTTCCCGCCAAGCAGGGAGCCCGATACAGGGCTCGATCCCAGGACCCTGGGATCATGACCTGAGCCGAAGGCAGATGCTTAACGACTGAGCCACCCAGGCACCCCAAACACCAACTTTTAAATAACAGAACAGTTCCTCGCTCGATAGAAGCAAAACCTGACATTCTGTCCTGCTTTCAAGGTCATTGAGCAAGTCCTGTTCTTCAGTCACAGACAAACCAAACCAGCAAACCGCTTTGCACCCCAGGATAACCCCAAATCTCAGCATCCCCCAATAAGAAACCCCTGTTTATTTCCTGTGAACCTCTGATAATCAGAATTTTAGCCCTGACCTTTGCTCTTCCTGTCATGTGTCCTGACCTTTAGGATTAGCATAATCACGTGAGAAAGTGGCCACTGGAAACTTGGTTTTCTTGTGACTTTTTTTTGCCTTTTAAATACTTGATGGTGTTTTTTGTTTGGTGAAGTCAGCCTCCCCTGCACTCCTTGCAAGAAAAGGTTCTTTTCTTTTCCTAAATGCAACTGCCTCCCATTTCCCTGGGCCATTCTTTTAAATATATCAAATGAAATGTAAATAATGTAGTGAAGTGACCTCTGAGACCAGAGAGACCAGAGAGATAGACAAATTCTTCTTGCTTCTTTTCTCTTTCACCTGGGGGGGGGGGTCCTGTCTCACTTCTTCCCCTGAATTTTATTCTAATAAAAACATTTTTATGTTTGAAAGTAATTCACTAATCACTCAAGCATAGGTTTCTGCAAGAAAAGCATAATTTAAATTTAACGTGTTATTTCCAGCAACTCTAAAGCTCTATTAAAAAAAATTATTCTGGATTGAGTAATGCAATTAATCAATTGACCAAACGAACATAAGTATATTAAATTGTGGTATATATTTATTATATATGTAATATATAATATATAAATACAACATATATAAAAGTTAAAATCTTGAACTGCATCTCTTAATGAGATGTATGGGGCTGCATGTTTTCAAATAATTCATGTGTCTTTGGGTGAGTATTATTTATTTTCTAAGACTTGGTTCATTCCTGTTTTTCATTTATTAGTGTAGACTATGAGAAAACTTGTTTATATAAATTCACACATGATAATGGGAGAGTTTTGCTAGGGCTATGTCCCTCCTCTTTCTGAACTTTTTTTTTTTTAAGATTTTATTTATTTATTTGACAGCGAGCAGTGAGTGAGCACGAGGGGGGAGGGGCAGAGGGAGAGGCAGACTTCCCGCTGAGCAGGGAGCCCAGATGCGGGGCTGGATACCAGGACCCAGAGATCATGACCTGGGCCAAAGGCAGACGCTCAACCTACTGAGCCACCCAGGCTCCGCTTTCTGAACTTTGGAGATTTAAGTCAAAAGCCACGCAGTGATTTATCACCAAAAACAAAATTTAAAAAATTGACTGGATTAGGTTCTCCTCCGCATGAATGAGATACCGGGCTTTCTTGGCACTCCCGGTATGTGAGTGGCCCGAGTCCCTTCCTGGTCCCCAGATTCTCCCACCCTTCTCCTGCTCCTGCTACGCGGGATGGAGGGATGAGGAAACGGAGGTGTCCCCGAGGTCGCGGGTCCCGAGGCTCAGCGCCTCGCCGGTCCTTGCTGAACGAGCGGCCCGGACCTAGTCACCTTCGGACACCGCCTGCTGCGCTTTGGCCGCGCCTGCCCCGGAGTCCCCGCGGATGGCAGGTGTCTGGGCGCTCCCGGTAGGGTTGGTGGTGGGGGACCCGGGGCAGCCGCGGCGACCTTCCTGTCTGGGAGTGCGTGCCTAGGAGGCCACCCTTCCTCTGACGTGACCCCACAAGGTGGATCTGCAGAGAGGGTCACAAAGGGGAGGGGTGCACCAGCTTGCTGCGCGTGCGCGGACCCGGCTGCGACCCTCTGCGGGCTGTGCTTGCGAGTGTAAACGCGGGGGGCCTGTTCCAACAGCGCATCTCCCGGTGTCCGGGTCCCGAGTGGGTTTAGGGTGTGTAAGCGTGTGTTGTACGAGGATCACAGTGTGTGTGGCTGGCATGGGAAGTGATGCGTACAGCGGGGGGTGGATGCGGTGTGTGCAGAGCGAGCGATGTGTGCGCGCGTGTTACGTGCGCGCATGTGAGTGGCGTGTGTTCTGTTGTGTGCGGGTGTGTATACGGTGTGTAGGGGTGGGATGTGACAGGGCAGCGTGTGTGTGCGGCGCGCGCGGCGTTCCGTGTGCCGTCCTGCCTGCGCCCCCAGGTCCGGGCTCAGCGACTGCGCACAGCCTGCGGCTCTGGCACCTCCCGCGGCGCGGAGCGGAGCGGTGCGCGGCGGGTAACCATGGCAACAGAAGCTCCCGCAGCTCCGCGGTCTGGGTGAGGGGCGCTGCCCTTCCCGGACGGCGGGCGTGGGGGAGGGGAGGCCGCTCGTCCCCAGAAACGCGCAGACGAGCGGGGCTGCCCTCCGACACACCCTTGCGAATCACCTTTCGTTGACACCCCTCCTGATGGGGCGCCCAGGCCCATTCTCGGTCCCTGCTGCTTGCCTGCCGGACCCGGACCCCTCGCTCGGGTGCTCCGCGGGCCTGGGGCTGGGCGCCGAACGAACGAGTCCAGCTGCCTCGCCTCGCAGCCTGTAGTTGCGCAAAGCACTTAGTGCTGTCAGGTGCGAAGGCGCAGCAAGGAGGTTGGCTCTTGGGATCTTAAAGATGGCCTGGACCGCAAGCACAGCTGTGGGGTTCTATGATTGGCAGGTGCTCCTGTTGGGTCCCAGGCGGATGGGCCAAAGGGAGCCCCCGCGTTTGACACAGGATCTTCTTCAGTGGGGAGGAGAGCATCTGGGCCAAGCAGTTCCCTGGGTTCTGGGAAGAATAGACTTAACTTGCGTCAGCAGAGAGCACCTGAGAGAAAGGGCTGGCCTGGCCCTACTGGGATTGAACCTGGAGATACCTGTGGTCCCCTCCCACTTCCGCTCAGGGTTAGCTGGTGGCTGAGGCTGCCTCAGTTGCAATCCTGTTTAACCTGAGGAGGTTGGGCCAGACCAGTTTCTAGTCATTCATTCACTCATAATCTTTATTTTTATTTTTTTATTTTAAAGATTTTATTTATTTGACAGAGAGAGAGAGAAATCACAAGCAGGGGGAGCGGCAGGCAGAGGGAGAGGCAGAGGGAGAAGCCGGCTCCCTGCTCAGCAGGGAGCCCAATCCAGGGCTCCATTCCAGGGCCCTGGATTATGACCTGAGCCAAAGGCAGACGCTTAACCGACTAAGCCACCCAGGCGCCCCTATTTTATTTTTTAAAGATAAATTTTATTTATTTATTTGAGAGAGAGCACAAGCAAGGAGGAGAAGCAGAGGCAAAGGGAGAAGTAGACTCTCCACTGAGCAGAGAGCCCCACACAGGACTTGATCCCAGGATCCTGGGATCATGATCTGAGCCCAAGGCAGCCGCTTAACTGACTGAGCCACCCAGGTGCCCCCATAACCTTTATTAAGTGCGACGATTCTCAAGTGTGATACTGTGGCCAGCAGCATGAGAATCCCCTGGGAACTACTCAGAAATGCAGGTTCTCAGGCCTACTACAGATCTCCCGATCCAGACGTGTGTGCGCGCGCGCGCGCTCAGGCTCACCTGCACAGCATCTGATCGAATCGAACAAAGAGCTTGGGAGGCACACAGATCCAGAGTGGCCTTTGTGCGTAGCATGGGGCTACATGATCCATTCCCTCAATGGATCTGAAAGCAAACCTGATTTGGAAAGTTCTACTCTTCTCTGAACAACCGGCATTCCACTGGGGCTCCATCTAAAATTTGGGGAAATGAATGCTCCTTGACCATGCCCCTAAGGTTGATGTGGTTATTTCGGAGGAGCTGGGGAAGGAGAAGCTGGAAGAACAGGAGGTTCTGAATTCCTATTTCTGAAGCTGCTTGAGAAAGGCTTCAAGGGGTGTTGAAGAGCCCAAGAGTGCCGCCTCCTGGTGACAGCATGCAGGGCTGGCTCTACAGGGGCGAGGCCTCCTGACAAAGGGGGCTTTCACTGTCCCAGTCATATACCCTGTCACTCTTGACCTGGCCAGTCAGTACTTGGATGTCCCACTCATTACTGCCAGCCCCTGGACTGGCTCAATTGAACAAAGGCTTTGAGCTGACAGACAGAAAGCAGTATGTGGATGGAGCAATCAGTGTTGAGTGTCAGTCACCTCCATGTGGCTCCAGAATGCAGTGCTCTGCTCTGTTTCAGCTGGAGTTTTCTCCTGACTGTTTTAGTTAGGCTGATAGTAAAATGAACTTTGTACGGTGAATTACAATGTTAGTTTTCAGTAGTGTCCTGAATTCCCCTGGGGGGAGTCTCTGGACACCTGCCCCAGGGAGACCGAGTGCTGCCCTCCAGAAGCTTCCGGGGCTGGCCACCTGGTTGGGAGCGGAGAGGAGGCAGGTGAGAGCAGGGGCGGCCTCCAGTGGGTTTGTCTCTGGCTCCCCTCCCTTACTACTTATACATTCTTTCCTGTCCACCCGCCAACCGCACTATTATGTAGTCGACATTTTTCCTTTAAATTAACTCATCCTTCCTAAGTTAATTTTCAAAGGAAAAAAATGGGAATTAACAGATATAAATGCAAAAATCAGTAGTTCTCACTGCAAACTAAAGGTGATCACAACAGCCAACACAATGCAGAGAGACCCGTGGGGTAACATTGTACCTTTTGATACATTGCCCACCCCAGCTCCGAGCCTGGGCCTTCTCTGTGCTACAGCAGCGAGGCATTTAAGGCTTAGTGTCACTGACCCCAAACTTTCTGGGAGAGAAGCAAGAAGGCCTGGAGGGGAGCTGAGAAGAGAGCAGCTGGGACTTTCTCCCCAGCCATTCCCCGCCTCTTCATTAAGTCCTAAAGCAGAACACGTGGCGGCCGGTGGGCCTTCGTAGGCCGGGTCCTGTTCTAAGCGGTTTGCAAATAACAACTCGTTTAATCATTAGGACCGGCCTATGAGACAGTGACCGGCCTATGAGACGGATACTGCTATCGTTCCTGATTTTACAGTGAGGAAATGGCCCAGGGGTTAGCAACTCGCCTGGGGCCACACAGCATTGCATTAGTGGGTGTGGGGGTGTGGGGGCTCAGGGTGGTGCCCTGCACTCACCCCACAGCTGCACAAACGGGAAATTTAGCCTCACAGCACGAGCCCTGATTATTTTTCTCTTTGAAAAAGTCATTGAGCGATTCTTGAGAGTTATCTGTTGGCCCATCCCCTGGAAAGTAAACTAGGCTGAGCAACCTAATGGGGGGCTCTCAGAGGAAGGCTGGGTGTCTTGGAGACCTGTGGGTCATGGTGGTTACACCAGCACCTGTGTATGCTCACTGCTCTGCAGTTAGGAATGCACGAGGATACTCCGCCTGGCCCCCTCCAGCCAGATGGAGCCGACTCCCGAGGGCCAAGACCGGATCCGGGCCTGTCAGAGTCAGAAGCTGGTGTGAGCAGGCAGGCTGGTCTGGGTATCCCAGGGTAGGCTGCCATGGGGGTGGGGCATTTCTTCTAGGAAAATTACTGGATGCAGGGCCAGGGACACAGGGCCTTTAAGGCCAAGGCAGGACTCCAGGTCCGGGCAGCTGGTCAGGCAGCTGCCAAGGGTGAGCTGGGATGGATCCTGGAGATGGAGGTGGAGATCAAGTCATAGACAGAAGAAGCCCAGAGAGGGGAGAGGGGGCTTCACAGGCAAGGAATGGGCGGGTCCTGCAAACCCATCTGTCAAAGGACGAGTCTCACACTGTTACAGCTGGATTTGTTTTCCAGAGCTGCGTTGGACAGGTGAGCACCTCCCGCAGCAGTTCTAACCGTGCCCATGGCTACGCCGATGGGGCACTTGCCTCCACGCATTATCCTGGGCCGATCTCAGGGAGGCGCGCCTCTCCTTACTGCCCCGTGTTTTCAGATGAGCAGACTGAGGCTGGGGAAGGGTAACCACCCCTCCAAGGTCACAGCATGTGGGTGGGAACAGACTGGAGTAGGAGCTGCTCTACTCCAAAGCCCGTGCTCTTAGAAAGTGGTCCTGAGATGCTCCGGTCTGCACAGTGTTCAGACTAGGGGGTGCACAACATCCTTCTTGCTCCTGGCCTGGCCACCCACTGCCCTCTCTGGAGCCGGTCACTGCTCTCCTAGTGTTGAGAGTTCTCCAGCGGTATATGATGTCTAGAGGTGCAGGGGTGCACATACTCTCTCCCCCCTCCCCTCCCCACCCCCACCAAAGGTGTCTACTATTTGCAGTGCTTGCACCTTATTTATTTATTTATTTATTTTTTTTGGCGGAACAGTGTGGCTTAGAGATTCTGGCTCCCTGTGAGTCCACAAAGAACCTTCTCATACCACCCTTTGTGGCACCTCTCCCTGGCAGGCCCACCAGAGGCTCGCCAGGGGTTGTTAGGCGGCCAAAGGCATCGGGAAGTCATCACACCCTGGGGCCAACTGGTAAGGCTGTTAGAAAACCCAGCAGGCTTTGGAGCAAAAGGCCCGCAACTTACAGCTGGCCCCTGTGACTGCAGCGACCAGGCTGTCCTTCATCCCCACCGGAGCTGCAGCCGGCCAGCCAGGCGGGGCGGGCATCAGGGCGGAGGCGTGCGGCTCGACGAGGCAAAGCGTACCCGCCGCCTGCCCTGAGCCCCCCGCTGGAGCTGGAGACCAGGGCCGGGTGGGTCTGAGCCCGGGAAGGTCCCGACCTTCCCGCGCGGGGCTCCCGCGCGCCCCCGCGTGGCCGCGGATGGCACGGCTCTTGGGGCGGGGCCTGTGGGAAGACGGGGAGAGGGGAGGGGGGAGGCAGGGGGAGGGCGACCCTGTGTGTTCCCAGGCCTAAATCTGGGCAGCGGCTTCATTGCCAGCACCTAACGACTGAGCATGGGCTGGGGCTGGGGGGACACTGAGGTCTGTGGCCAGGTGGAGAGTAGGGCTCATCCGTGTCCAGCAGACTCACGCCGTGAGAGGGTAGCTTCTGGAGGCTTCCTGGAAGAGGCAGGCCTGGAAGAAGGAGTGTATGTTGGCTGGGGGGGAGGGCTGGGCAGGGTGAGGACAGGTCTGGGGGGAGGGGAGAGGAAGCAGGGCTGCAGGGAGGTTGGGAGTGGTGGGCGGTGGGCTGGGCAGACAGTGGCGGGGGGGGGGGGGGGGGGGGACACACACCCATCAGGTTGTGAAGGAGAGGGGCCCCTGTGGGGACTCCAGACCCTCCGCTGGACCCAGGAGGGCATGTGTGCGTGGGGGTGGGAATTGTTGGGGGGTTACACCGTTCCCCCACACTGGGGGCACGTTCCTGGGCCTGGCTGGGGGTCGCACACTGCAGACCCAGAAGGGAGGAGAGCCTGAGGTGCCTTGGTTTCCCCTGACACTCCGCCTGCTCCCGCCTGGGTAGGGAGGATCTTAGGTCACGGCGAAGGGCTGCGCCGTTTCTCAGGTGAGCGACAAGTCCTTCGGGCACGGTGTTTGGAGGCAAGAACCTGGCCAAGACAGCAGCCGTGATGACCAGCCCAACCGGGGAGGTTGTCCCCACGGCTCTGAGCTCCGTGCTGCGCGTGGGCTCCAGCCCGAGGGCCAACTCTTTGGTCTCTTCTTCACCTGGCCTTTGCGACCTCGTTTTTGGGAGCTTGAAATTGGCCTCAGTGGGAGCACTTACGCCACAGAGATGGGAAAGGCCACACGTCAGGACTTTTACTGCTTTTGGTCTAGAGAGTGCGTTTGCTGGCAACGCCCCCGCCCCAACCCAGCGCAGTCACAGGGTCTTCCCTGTCAAGCTGCCGTTTCCTCGCCTGTGAAGCCTGAGCCCCCCTCTCGGGTGTGGTGGAGAACAGGTGTTTGCGGATGTGTTTTAGAGGCTGGAGGCCTGGGAATCTTACTACATCACTGCCTCACGCGAGGACGGCTCCCCCTGAGCACAGAGAGCCAGTGATGGAGGCAGCTGTAAGGACTCCAGATGAGGACTTAAACCAGTGCTCGGACACAGCTCTGTCACTTCCAGGGTCCCGGGCTAGCCAGCTAACCTCTCAGGCTGCAGCGTCCCGTCTGCGTAAGAGGGGGTCTGCCAGATCATCTCCCTGGGCCCATCCAGCTCCACCATTTGGTGGCGAGAGCCCCTGCCCCACCACACACCCCTGCAGCCCCTCTGTCTTCCGGCCTCCGTCCCACCTCGGCTGCCACGTCCCTGTCTCTCCTCGGGTCTCAGAGAGTGGCTCTGTCCCTCCCTGGGCAGCCCAGGCCCCCGCTGCAGATGCGGTCTTCATATCACATCTGTATCTGCCCCTGCTCCCAAACCTTGAAAGGTATCTTGAACCCGTCCAATTTGCACCATCTCCGCTCTGCCCCCAAGATGTTCTGCCCAGACCCCGAGGGACTGTCCTAAGTTGCCGTCCCTCCTCCCGAGCCTGGCGGTCCTGTGTTCCTTTAGTCATTGGTGTCGAATCAGGTGCATCCCCCGGTCACTTGGCTGGGGGTCCCCGCTGCCTGTCAGGGAAGCCTGCTCCCTCTGTCCACGGAGAGCTCATCATGTACTGTCCTCGCTTACCAGCCTCCAAGCACGGGCCTCCCTTCTCGTCCACAGACACGAGGGCCAGGCCCACCTCGGGGGCTCGCACGTGCCCTCCGCTGCCTGGGCCCTCATCCCCCGGCTGAGCGAGGCTGGCTCATCCCCCTCGTTCAGGTCTCCCACTCCCTGCTGTGGCCCAGTCCTCTCTCTGCCAGTGACACCGGACTCGGTCCGTCACCTCGTGCACTGATTTGTTCTCTTCCTGTTGTCTGCCCTCCGTGGCCCCTAAATCACAGACTCTGGGGTGCAGGGCCCAGGCTGCGTCGTTCACTGCAGATCCCCAGACCCCAGACCAGAGCCTGACACCAAGCAGGCTCCCACTGTGTGGTTTGAGAAGGAATGGATGATTTGCTTCTGCTTTGGCTGGAGGGCCATGGCAGCCCAGGGTAGGAACGAGATGGGGCTGTCACACAGCACGCCGAGGCCTTCGAGCTGGCTCCTCGGATATTCTAGGACCCCTGCAGCTCCCCCCACACACCTGACCCCGATGGCTTCTGGGTTCTCCCTTGCCCCCCGAGTACTGAAGCCTTGCAGGCAGGCAGCGAGGAGGCTGGGGAGGGTTCAAGTCTCCACGGGCTGTCTGTCTGCTTGGAAAGACCTGCTGCAAGCCTAGAGGAGAGCGGCTGGAAGGGGCCTGTGGGGGTCTCGAGGACTGACTCCCCTCTGCCGCGGTGTGGGGGCGTGAGGCTGGAGCAGCAGGGAGCCCGGGGCCCACCCTCCCCTCCGCCTCCTGGGCTTCTGACCTTGAGCAGTGGGGCATTATGCAACCTTGACCAGAAGAATCACAGCCACCAGCAGTCCCGTCACCAGGGGGGGCTGGCCACTTGGCAGGAGGGCAGAGCCTGAGGAAATTCGGAGCATCCAGTGAATGAGAGAAGCGGGAGCAGGTCACTCAGCCCTGCTCCTCCATGGTGGGCCAGGTGCTCTCCCCCCTGCCGCCCCACAAGCCCCCTGACCTCGACTCTCACCACGGCCCCTCCCTGAGGAGCAGGGCCAGCACACCTCCAGCCAGGCCCCCACTGGGGTGTGCCATCTTGTCAGCTCCCAGGTGACCTCTGGCCCTGGGATGGGCCAGCGTGGGGGTGAGGGCGTGTTGGGGGGCGGCCGATAGAGGAAGACTCCCGGAAGGAGCCTCACATGGCCATGCGGGAGAGCAGGTCATGGGGAACCAGGAGCCTGGAGGTGGACTTCCCCAGGGGGCCTGTCCTGTGGGCAAAGCACCTGTTTCTCTGGCCCTCAGTCTCCCCAAGGCTGCTGCTCACTTCCACCTGCTCTCCCCTCATTGCTGCCAGGGGCTTGAGTGTCAGGGGCTTGAGATGTTTCCGGGGTCCAGGACAAGGAAAGAGAAGGCGGCCTCACGTGGCTGATGGTGCTCCCTGGTCTGCAGCGGCCTGCTGGTGGAATGGGCAGCCCCTTACCTGAGGGGGTGCTCGGGGGCCTGCTGTTGGTTTCCTGGAGCATGGGCAGCAGGGTGCTCAGGAGCCCGTCGTTGGCCTCGGGCACGATGCCCAGCAGATGGCACATGAGCTCGTACACGTGGATGCTCTCGAAGGGCTCCACCTCCAGGCCCGTCTTGAAGCTGGGGCCCACGGCCCGGAAGATGGTCTTCATGTCCATGACGTCGTTGTGAAAACCGTGCTCACCCTTGTTGAACTGCACGCTCAGTCTCTGCCGGGGAGGGGAGGTCCTGAGCCTCTGCGGGGCCTCCCAGCCCAGCCCCACTGTCTCTGACAGCAGCACCCCTCTGGGGGCAGAGGACCGCTGGGAGGGGTTCACACGTGGGGGCAGGAGGGTTTCTCTGAATTCTGAGTCCCCAGAGATCCGTGGCCCGAGGGAGGGCCTCGGGGAAGACCTGGTAGCCCAGGGGCAGACCCCAGGCACACGGGGTGGCACCTGTTCTCACCAGCACACTTCCTTTCCCGAGTCCCTCTCCCTGCCTGCGTCCTCCCTCCCCTCCGGCACCCCTCGGCTCTCCGCTGACCACTGACGGCAGAGCGGGCTCCTCGCCCTCACTTCTCTTTCATTCCTTATGGCCAGTCTTCCCACACTTTACCCTACATGCATGCACACGCATGCACACAAAGCATGTACAAAGCCCATATGCACACAAATCTCACGCATTTGCACCCATGTATACTACACGCACACACACTCCGATTGCATAGTGATGGGTGTGTCCCTTTGGTGGCCAGTGCCCCTCCAACTGGGGACTAGTGAGAAATAGGGGGCTTTTTACAGAAATGGAAAGAGACCCAGCCGCCCAGTGAAGGAGTCTGTCCCAAGCTGGGCATTGGGCAGGCAGCTCACCCCATGGATGACGTAGCCAGGGTCACTGTACATGAGCAGCGGGGTGATCCTGGGGTTGTTGGCGTAGTGGAGGGATGTAGGGAAGGACTCCTTCTTGTAGACGTGGAGTTTGGGGTGGGCATTCTTGAGGACCTCATACACCTTCTCCAACATCCCTTCCTTGGGGAGCAGCATCCCGTTGGGCCCATAGTCCAGGAGCTCAAACTCGATGTCCTTGAAGGTGAAGTTGGGGAACTTATGGAATTCCACCAGGTCCGGGGCCTGCTTTTTGACGGTGGTCATGCCGTGGTCGGACGTGATGATCAGGTTGAGGCTGCCCTCCAGGCCGCTCCTGCTGATGCTCTCCCGAAGGTAGCCCACTGTCCTGTCCACCTGCATCACCATCTCCTTCCTCTGCTGGGACTCGGGGCCATACTTGTGGCCCGTGGAGTCTGGCTCCCCAAAGTAGAGTGTGACCAGGTCCAGGCCGTCTTCAGTGAACCACTTCATCACCGTGTCGATGTCGGCCCTCCACCGCGTCTCATTTTTGTAGTTGTGCAGAACGCCTTCCTTCCGGCTCAGTGTCACCGCTGTGCCTTGGTAGGTGACGTTCCCGCCAGGGTAGAAGAAGGAGCCAGTCTTTAAGCCCTGCCAGGGAAGGTGGCGTTAAAGCCACAGCCCTCCTTGGGCTAGCCCCCTGCCCGTTCCTGCCGCGGTCACGGCTGCCCCCCACCTGCCCGCCTGCCCGCCTGCCCCCCCCGCCCCCCGCCGGCTCACTCAGCCTTGCTCCCGGCGCAGGCACGGGTCTTTCTTTGGGGGGAGGCCTTTTATAACTCTTATGTTGCCACGGCTGATACTGATTTTATGGAGGAGAGAGCAGGTGCCCAGTGGACCCAGCACTAGTGACATAATGGATATGTGTCCCCAGATATTTGGTGCCCTCATTGTCACCATGGCCCTGGCCCCCACGGCTGAGCTGCCCAGACGGCCCTCCCCTTCTGGCCTGGAGCCTGGCCTCTCCCTACCGTATTCCCGTCCAGGGCCTTCTACCCGCGTCCCCTTGCCTGCCCTTCCAGACTTCAGCCTGGCCACCCATCTGCCTTTTCATAAATCGATTGCTGCTTTATTTACAGATCCTGTCCTTTGAACCATACGTCCAAGCTCGCCCTGTCTGCATGGCCGCTGCCCAGCTGCCCCTCTGTTTAGACCGAGCACCACGCGATGCCAGGCTCTTCGCTCCGGCTTTCTGTGCTCACGTGAGCCTGGCGTCCGGGTAGCTCCTTCCAGAGTAAAGGGACTCCGACCTGAGTCGACACCCTGCCCAGAGGGTGCGTGTAGCCTCTGAAGTTCATTCTGGGCTCATCTTGAAAACCTCCCTTTGACCTTGTTGAGGAACTGGCACACCTCCAGGGCCAGGAATCCCCCAGAGCACTGCACGATGGAGGGGTTCCTGGCTCAACGCTACAGCCCACTCCTTACTTATCTTTCGCCCTCTGGAAGTTAGCGGCCTAGCCCGGAGAGGAATTCAGAAGGGGGAAGGCAGAAAGCTCTTTTATTGTTAGGTGCCTTTTTGTTGAGAGACCTTATTTTCCCTGTGTGGGCCCCACTCCCAGAGCCAGGGGCCCAGGGGTGCCGTTTTCCTTCCCGTTGGGAGGATGGAGCCCTCCCTCTGCGTCCCGGGGCTGCAGGGAGGATTGGGCAGGGCCACGGAGCTTGCTGGTGGATGCTCATCAGCATCCAGCACCCACCGCCCTCGGGGCTCCACTTAATACCCCCCCATGCTGGGAGCCCAGGATTCTGGGGCGGGGAGTAGGCCTGCGTGGGTCTCACAAGGTCACGGCTTTTCTGGACCAGGTCCTCCCTTCCCCTGTCCCCCGACTGCCGTCTGTGGGCTCAGGGCCAGCATTACCTGTCGTTGGGCTGTGATCCAGATGGGTATGCTGCCATTGTCCCACCACATCTGGATGCCCAGCGTGGCATGGTAGGGCAGCTTCACCTTGCTGGTGGTATTGTAGTACATGTTGTGAACCACTCCGTGGTTCTCGATGTATTTGCCTGTGTGTGGGGGGGGGCGGGGAGGAGATGGCAGAGGGGAGGTAGGAGGTGGGAGGGCAGGAGGGAAGCGGGAAGGCTTTCACACATGCGGCTGGGGGGAGCCCCCGTTCGGGGTCACAGGCACATCCTCTCCAACCCCGAGGTTCTACGACCCGTTCCCGTGGTTTCTCCAGCAGCTAAACGTGCCCACAGGGCAAACGCATGTGTGTGCGGATGTCATCTGTAGCTTCGTGGGTTTTAGGGAAGACCGGTAGCGACCCAGATGGTTATCAGGAGGGAATTAATGAGACAGCTATGGCCCAGTCATAAAGCAGAATCCCAGGCAGACATTTCAATGCACCACGTGGAGCTCCATCCATGAGCTATTTTCTAAAATTCACTTTTTGCGTGGGACACGCATGCACTCGTGCTCAGAAGCCACGGGAGGAGGGACGATGAAGAACGTGCTCCCTGCCCCCCCCCATCCCCATGCGTGATCTAGTAAGGAAACAGGTGCTGTGCAGGAGGGGAGAACCAGATGTTTGCAGCAGGGGGCCCTGGTCACAGAATGCTGGCATACGGATGAGCCGTCTGTACTGAGTAGGGTCTCCCCCCCAAGTTCACGTCAGCCTGGAGCCTCAGCATGTGACCTTGCTTGGAAATAGGGTCTTTGCAGATGTGATGAGTTAGGTTAAGATGAGGGCAGTCTGGGTCACGGTGGGCCCTACGTTATGGATGAGCATCCTCACAAGACAAGGAGAGACACACAAGGGGAAGACAGCTGGGGTTGGAGAGACAGGCCATGGAAGGGCCACGGAAGCGCCATGGAGGCTGGGAGCCGCAGGCAGGGTCCTCTAGTGTCTCCTGAGGGAGTGTGGCCCTCCTGACACCTGCATTCTAGACTTCCAGCCCAAACAGAGCCATGGAGGGTTTGAGGGCATCTCAGGGGCCGCAGTGGGAAGAGCAGGAGCCTCAGGGTCATCTCTCCTGCCTGTCTGGAACCCGGCCACGCTGACTTCCTCCAGAAGCCCTCCTGGGTTGCCACCTTGGTTGGGGGTCACTATTTAAAACGGGGCCGCTGGGCATTTTGATGCCTTGTTTAAGTCACCGCCAACAGTGGGGCTTGCTGATGACCCCCTCCCTTGGCCGTGCTGCGTCTCCCAGGGACAGCGTCCCCTCCTTGGTCTCCTTCGTCCCTGTGCGGTCCCTGGGGGGACGGGGCTCTGTGCACACACCGGGCTCCCTCTGTCGGTTCTGCTAGATGCTCAGCCCCCTCCCTGCCCCCAGGCCCCAGCCCGAGGCTGACACTCACCAGTGACCAGGGTGAAGTGGCAGGGGCTGGTCATGGTGACAAAGGCCGGCGTCATGTAGCGGGCCTTCACTCCGTCGAGCGCCATGGCATCCAGGTTGGGGGTTTGTGTGTCCTGGTCATAGTTCCAGCGGAAACCGTCAAAGGACACCAGCAGCAGCTTATTCCGGGAGGCCTTCCTGCCGAGCGGAGCCCCTGCCCCTGCAGCCAGGAGGGTGGCCAGAGCCAGGGCCAGGAGGCCAGACGAGCGCCTCGTGATGGGCTTTCCAGACATGAAGGCGTCCGGGTTGGTTCCTGCTGAGGAGCAAAGTCCCAGGGTCAGCTGGGATGGTCTTGCCCTGTGTCTCCTTCAACACAGGACTGTGCATGTACCTGATTCTCACGAGGCAGCCTGGGTCGCCACGCGCCTGCCACCCCGCCCCAGCCCTCGGGCAGCGTCTGCCTTTATTGCCGGCAGAGCCTTCTGGGCGGGCTTCTCCCCACCCCCACCCCGCCCGTGCACACGTGTCCTCGCAGGGAGGATGGGGACCAGTCCCGGAGGTCTGGAGAGCAGAAGGGACCACTCCGTCCTGCAGGCCTGTGTCCCCACTCCACCCCTCCTACCCAGCCTTGGCCCCTGTACCCTGCTCACCCTGACCCCAGAGCACTGGGAGGGGCCCCTCCAGCTTGTAAGTTAGGGAGAGCTCTGGGGTACCTGGGTCTCAGGCCTACCTGGGTCAGGGCTATGGTGGGCTTCCCAGGACCTGGGAGCCCAGGGCCAGCAGCTCAGCCCAAGGCTGGCTTTGTCCGTGGGAGCCCCAGCTTGGGTGAGCCCCCTTTCCTGCCATGCCCATGAAGGGGTGTCCTGGGATGGGGCAGCCACAGCTCCAGCCTGGTGCCCGGATTAGCGCCCACTGCACCTGCCTCCTTGGGTCCCGTGGAACCTCAGAGAGGCTCACAGATGCAGGTGGTCTCACTTGTGGACTTCATCACACAAGGCAGTCAGAGGGGGTCCCTTGTTAACTGTGCTCATGGGGGTGGGTGTGTGCAGGAAAGGGACCCCTGAGTTTAGTGTGCGCACCCCCCCGTCTCTGTCTCTGTCCCTCTTCTTCTCTGAGGACCTACAAAGCATGTTCTGTGAGCCAGGCAGGCACGGTTCTCAATTCGGAGGACACAGCAGTGAATGAGACAGATGAGTGAACAAGTAAAACAGTAAAATAGTGAGGCTGGGGAGGGGCAGCACCCCAGATGGCGGCCAGGGTCAAGTCAGAGGATGACATGGGTAGGAGCCAGGGGAGTGGGGTCAGGGGTGGGTCCTGGCTCCTGGTGGGCTGTGGCACCTTATGCAGGGCAGGGGGAGGCAAGGGAATGACAAAAAGTGATCCAATGTTTGGGGCTTTTTTTTAATTTATTTTTTTTTTTAGAGAGAGTGAGAGGGAGCAGGGAGAGGAGCCGAGGGAGAGGGGGAGAGAATCTCAAATACGCTCCACACCCAGCATAGGAGCCTGATGCAGGGCTCCATCCCACAGCTCTGAGATCATGACCTGAGCCAAAATCAAGAGTCAGCTGCTTAACCAACTGAGCCCCTCAGGTGCCCCACCCCTAATGGTGTTTTAAAAAACCAAGCTGCTGCACTTGCAGGACCGGGTGGCCTGAGGAAGGGGTGGGCTGGGGGCTGCGCAGGGGGGCGCCTGCCAGTGTGGGGGCAGGAGGTGGTGGTGGCCCAGACCAGGGTGGCTGCTGTGGCAGTGACAGATGCCACGGGCGTGAGGGGGCTGTGCTGAAGGGCTTTGCTGCCAGACTGCAGGTGGGGGAGCGGCTGGGTCTGCCCCCAGCAGCCGGGTGATGGGGTGTGTGTGCACACCCGCAGATCAGAGCCCAGGTGGAGGGTGAAGGACGGAAACAAGCATTCCCCTTGGGCCACATTCCGCTGGAGGTCCTCCCGGTGGAGGTGTCCAGTAGGTGGTGTGAGTCCTGATTTAAATTTTTTTCATCTGTGAACCTGCCAACAGCCGCCCTACCTTACGGCTTTGGCTGCAGCAAGCGGATGTGCTCACCAAGCGATTTCCAGTTCACCCTCGCCACAGGAGCATTCAGAGCCTCCTCTGAGGTGTGGCCCAGGGACCACGGGTGCAGATTCTTGGGCCCTCCCCCCGAAACGTGCTGAAACACACGCCGGGGAGGAATCCTCGTACAGCAGCGGGCCCTGAGAACCCGGGACAGGCCGACCGCGTGGTCTCCTACAGCCAGCGCGGGAGGGGTGGGGCTGGGGTGGGGCTGTCGAGCGGTGGGCCAGGGCACAGCAGGTGCAGGACTGCGGGGGTGCGGCACCCTCCCTCCCACCGCGCAGGGCCCCAGCTCCAGGGAAGGACCGGGCAGCCGTGTGCGAGTGGGCGCAGGTGCCTTCGGAGAGCGCAGCAGGGCCGCATTTACACCGGTGTTGGGGGGCAAGGACCAGGAAGGCTGCTCTGAGGGTCTGACATCCCAGGAGGCCTACTGGATGGATCGAGGCAGCAGAGTGAGGTGGAGGAGGGGCGAGGTCGGGCTGGAGGCTGTGGGGCAGGTCATGGAGGAGCCTAGATCTTAGGCTAGTTGTCTTCCAGAGTAAAATGGCTGCCAAGCATAAAGACTACATTTCCCAGCATTCCCTTCAGCCAGGTTTGGCCATGTGACTCCGTTCTGACCAATGGGACGAAAGAAAAAAAAATGTCATGAGCCAGTCCCAGGCTCTTCCTTGTGGAGTCTTCCTCCCGCTGGTGCCTGCGGCTGCGGGGCTGCCCCAGGCTGGACGGTGAGGGGCTCCCGGGCAGCGCGGGTGTGCGCCGAGGGGGCGGTCCGCGAGGGCGTCCTGGGCGGCGTGGCCCGCCCGGCTGCACCTCGCGGGGAGACGTGCACGCACCGTCTTGCTTCTGTTGCCTTGTTTGGGTTTTCTGTTCGCCTCAGCGGGCCCCGGTCGCAGGCTCTGGGCGGCCTTGCTGGGTTTAAGCAGGGAGGTGACCTGAAATGCAGGCTGCTGCGTGGGCGGGGGGGCGAGAGGCCAGACCCGGCCTCGGGCAGAGGTGCACAACGGTTTGGGGCCCGCGCTGGCCCTGGCGGCAGGTGCGTGCAGGGGTGCGGGTGAGCGAGGCCTCGGTGACCTGTTCTCGCCGCGCACTTTCTCCTGCTGGCCCCCGTGGGCGGTGGGTGGATTCAGGTCCTGCTCACCCTCGCCTGCCTGCCTGGGCCTGGCCTGGAGATGGCAGGAAACGTCTGCTCCTCGCCCTCGCCCTCCCCGACGTCTCAGCCCGGCATTTTCCCCCTGAATCGCCCTCGCGGCTCACCCTCCATCGCTTTCCTTTCCCTTCCGTGGCCTCCGACAGCACTTCAACAAAAGGCGAAAAGGCGGGTGTCCTCGCCGACTGTAACCAGCAGTAACAGGGCATTTCTATAGACCAAGCCCTCGCTTTACCCAGGATCTCATTCACGCTTCAAGGTGGTTCTGGAAGGCAGGAGTTACTAATATGCTCACTTCATGTGTGGGGAAACGGAGGCAGAGAGAGGTTTCAGGTCACTCAGCAGGTGGAGGAGCCAGGGTCCACGACCCTGCTTTGACCCACTTCTTTTTTTTTTAAAGATTTTATCTATTTATTTGACAGAGAGACAGCGAGAGAGGGAACACAAGCAGGGGGAGTGGGAGAGGGAGAAGCAGGCTTCCCGCTGAGCAGGGAGCCCGATGCGGGGCTCGATCCCAGGACCCCAGGATCATGACCTGAGCCGAAGGCAGATGCCCAATGACTGAGCCACCCAGGCGCCCTGCTTTGACCCACTTCTAAATGCCATCGACCTACCAGCCACTTAGGACCCTCTTGCCCGGCTTTGGGGGGCTGTTGACTTCTTCTTCTTCTTTTTTTTAGATTTTTATTTATTTGGGAGAGAGAGCACAAGCAAGTGGAGCAGCAGAGGGAGAGGGAGAAGCAGCCTCCCTGCTGAGCATGGAGATGCAGGGCTCGATCCCAGGACTGAGATCATGACTTGAACCGAAGGCAGGCGCTTCACCGACTGAGCCACCCAGGCGCCCTGTTGACTTCTTTTAATCATGGTGCAGCTGTGACTATGGTGGGGCATCACAGACTTTCCCCTTTTACGTTCTCATTATTTCCCTGGGGTGCACTACCTAGGACAGGGTCCTTGGCCAAGGACAGAGAGGCTGCCTGGTGCTTTGAGTCCTCTTGCTGTGTCAGGAATGGCTGAGGCTGTGAGTCGCTTCTCCCACCAGCCATGAGTTGTCCTAACTCTTCTGCCTCACGGTGTCCATTGGGTTTTATTTTTTATTCCTTTTGAGTGCTTAACAGGTGTGTAATGATGTCAGAAAGTGTTACCTGAGAGAGGCTAGAAGATTTTCCATGTCACGCTTTCTTTGCTCTGCTCCCCATGGGCAGATTGTTGATTGTCTCTGACCATGGGTCAGGTGGTCCAAGCGGCCATCGAGTCTTAGGGCTTCATCAGTTCTGTATGTATTTTGTAATATATATGTTTGGGAATCTATCCTCTGCAATCTGTTTTTCATAGGCCTTTGTCATTTCTATCTGTCACTCGTAACTTTCCCCACTCTCTGGCACACTGGTCATTTTTCAGGTAGACGGTAGACCTGAAGCTCTGCAAAGACAGGGCTTGCCATATTGTTCATCGTTGTATCCCCAGAGCCTGGCATGGGGACCCGCCCAGAGTAGGCATCACCCTGTATTTGTTGGATGAACAGATACGCTTAGAAGGAAAATTTGTGCAAATATCTATTGTACTTTTGGTTAGGGAAAATATTTTTTAAAAGAAACTCTCTATTGGACGACAATCTCAGGCTTAAGGAAATATTGCAAAGATGGTAGAGTTCCCACATGCCCCGCGCCTGGTTTCCTCGGTTAGTAACATGTTAACCTTCTGTGGTGTGTTTGCACAGTGCGCCAGCAATATTGGTTTAAGTTATGATTCTGTTCAGTATGGACAGGCCCACATTCTACTCAGATGTCCTCAGTGCCTGCCCCGCTGCCCTGGCTCTATTCCAGGATCCTATTAGGTCATCACCATGTCCCCTACATCCCTCTTGGGTGTGATCATTTCTCAGACTTTCCTTGTTTTTGATGACATGGATGGTTTGGAGGAGTGCTGGTCAAGCATTCTGTAGAATGTCCCTCTGTTGAAATTATCTGTTGTTTTTCTCTTGATTACACAGGGGTTATGGGGTTTTGGGAGGAAGGGCACGGAGATAAAGTGTCATTCCCGTAACATCATATCAAGGGTACATTTTATCAATGTGACTCATCACTGCTGTGTGACCTTGCTCACTTGGTCAAGAGTGCGTCTCCAGGTGTCTCTGCAGGATGGCCATTCTTTCTCGCGCTCTCTGGTCTTTGGAAGGAAGGTCACCATGTGCCACCCACACTTCAGGGGTGAGGGGTCATGCTCCACCTCTGTGGGGGCAGAGTATCTACATCCATTATTTGGAGTTCTGAGCAGGAGATTTGTCACTTCTCCCCATTTATTCATCTCTTCAATAATTTATATCAGTACAGACTCACGGATATTTCTTCCACACTGTGGATTATATCCCACTGCTATCTGGTTGATTTCGTTGCTCTAATTGCTCTGTCTTTCGCCACTGGGAGCTCTTTCTGTGGGCTCCTGGGTCCCCTTGTCATGCCCGTCGCTTTTTTCCCTTGAGCACATCCCGGGTCTCTGGCACCAGAGGATGCTCCAGGCTCCCCTCCTGTGTTTGCTGCCCCAGCCCTGGGATCAGGCATTTCTCAGAGGCCCTGGTTCCTTTTCTTGGCGCTGATATTAGAGACCAAGAGCTGGGTGTGGCAAGTGACGGTGCCCTTGTTTGTGGCTGTGAGCGACGCTTTCTGCCCATCTCCTGGTACGGTGCCCGGCACACAGTGGGCCGGAAGGAAAGAAGGTGTGGGTGTCGGGAGCAGGGTTTGGGCTCTGATGGATCTCCTAGCTTCTCCTTCATCTCTATGCAGCAGTTGGAGTGATGTCTCCAAACCAGGAATCACCGTCTCCCTGTCTGGCCACCGTGTAGTCCCGGGCTGGTGCGACCTGCCAGGGAGCCCCTGGCGCCCCGGCGGGGGGACTGGGTGCAGGAGCAGGTGATCTGGCCGGGGGTCGTTGCCTCTGTTGGAGGCATGGAAGTCCTGAGCCCACCCTCCCCATGTCCACAGTGACAAGTGGCAAGCTTGGGTCTAATGGGTCTCTCCCCATGCCCAGTCCATGCCCCTTTGGAGCGAAAGCGGTGGTGTTGCCGACACACTGTTTGCTGGAGAGGAGCGTTGCCATCAGGATGGAGATGAACAAAGAATTTGACCTGGGGACATGGCAGATGACCCTTCCCAAACAGGGTCCCGGATGTCGCCGTTGCCGTGCCAGCCACCTTGGGAAGGGGTCCCTGTGAACCCCTGGCGGGGGGCTGGATTGGGTGCTTCATCCTTGTGTCCCTGGGAGGCCTGAGCTGTTGAGCCTGGGACAGGGGTCTGGGGGGCAGTGGGAGGCCACCAGGAGCCACACACAGACCGGCCTGGGCTCAGCAGGTGAACTGCAGGAGGCACCGCGGTCGGTGGTGTTTCTGCGGGAGAGACAGTGGCCCGAGGCTGGCGGTTCCCTCCCAAAGGGCCACAGTGGTCCAGCGGCACTGTGGGGGCAGAAGGAGCTGAGAGACCCAGCCTCCCTCCGCTCCCTCTGCTGGAAGGCTTAGCAGCCTTCCGCCACGATGAGCACCCTCCCTCCGCTGTCGTGGGAGGGGGTCACCCCTGCCCACTGCCACTGGGACCTGTCTGCTGCTGGCTGCTCCCCATGAAAGGGGCCTGACCCGACCTTCGAGACGGCAGGATTTTATGAGTGCGAAGATCTACTTTATCAGTTGCCTCTGCTTTTTATTACCACTCAGGAGCTTTATCTCGCGGCCACCTCGCCTCCAGCTAAATGAGGATTAATATTTTAACAGGATTATGTGCTGGGGGTTAGCAGGACTCTCTGGGGATGCCGGGTGCTCCCCTCCCTTGCAGCCTCTCCTCTGCTCCCCAGGCCTCCCTCCTGGTGTGCGGGGAGGCGGGATCCTGAGGTCGGGGAGCTGGGGCCACCTGGTTCCGGACTCCGGGCTGGGGGCTGGGGGCTGGGGGGAGGGCTCTGGGCTGTGGGGACGGGTTGTCTTGAAGAGCGGGTCTGTCCCAGGGTAGGGATGGCCCTGCAGGGTGAGGTCCCTGAAGAGACCAGACTGTGTGCTGGGGTCAGTGGTCTTGACCACCGTGGGGGAGAAGGGAGGATGATGGACCTGGAGCTGGGGGTGGGGGCAGGATGGGGAGGGAGGGATGCCCACTTGCCCCAGTACCTCAGCCCCTGAGGGACACACAGCCTCTAAATGTGCTCTCTCAGGCCTTATTGAACTTCCTCCTGGAAAAATAGTCCAATTCCACCGACATTTTATAAAAGTGAGACTGTTTCCGTCCCTCTCCTGATTCTATCATGTAAGGGACAAAACCCAGGTTCTCAGGTGGGGCTTCCCGGATCTGTGCGCTCGGCCCCGCGGATCCCCTGTGTCTGGGGGACCCCTGCAGCGATCTCCTTTCCCAGAGCCACCATTTCCTTCGTAAGCAGGAAGAAGGGCCTGCCCCCAACTTGGGAGCTTTTCCCCATGGCCCCAGGCAGAGCTGGGGACCTTTGTGATTCTTCTGCTGAACTGCTTGTCACGTCTGTAATTATGAGTTGGTCTGCTTTTCCCACCACTGAGGAATGAATGAGGGAGGGAGGTTGGCTCCCTGAACGAGGGACCGGGGCTGATATTTGCACGCTTGTGTTCATAGTGGTGATTCACAAGAGCTGAAACATGGAAGCAAGTTGGGAGTCCATCCTTGGATGAGGGTCCGTCCACACAGTGGAATATCATGCAGCCTCAGACGGGAAGGACATCCGCACACCTGCTGCGTGGACAGACTTGGAGGACATGGAGCCAGTTGGAGTCAGCCAGTCACAAAACGACGGGTAGTATAGGATTCCATTTATGTGAGGTTCCTAGAGTCCTCACAGAGACAGAGCGGAGGATGGAGGCACCAGGGGTCAGGGG